GGACCAAATAGACATGACTTATACTATTCTTGTTAATACAGATTTGCAGGGAAACCTGTCTTCCTGTACAAAAGTATTGACTGACCGACAAAGAGGGCTTCTCATCATTACAACAGTCTATAATTCTTCCAATATATAGGACATATTAGCATTTTTCCTAAAATTAAAATCAGAAAATATCCTTTATTTGGTGTCCTTATAAGACGAGTTGAAAGCAAACAACATTTGAGGAAGACTCCTGGGAAATTGGGCAACAAGAACATAAGAGACCTCTGCCCACTCACAGACTTGTCAGTGAGTGCAAGTATGTGGGTGCATGAAAAATACCGTAGTCCATACTGTTGTTAACAAACTCCTGCTCGCCACTGAGTTACCCTAAAGATCTTTGTGGTTAAATTATTCACGGAAACCATGAACAGCAATCTGAAAGGTGAGTATCATTGACTTAGTCATGCTAATGGTTCACCATCCAGAACCCAAGCAGTTCAAAGTTAAAGGGCAGAAGGCTTTGACTTATGTGTTGCAAAACGCAGGTCTTAAATAATTATAAACTATGTTTTTCTAGAGGAATCACTGTATAGGGATCAATAGAACATCACTGTATTCTCTAACAAATGGCATTTGAGTTTTAATAAGACTTTACAAAGGTACCCTTGGGAGAGCTTTTAAGAATAGAACAATATTTTTAGGGAGAGAATATAGTCTCCCATGTAGAATTTCCTGGGAAAATGTTCCTGTTCTCTTAATTCAGCAAAAATGTCTCCCTAATCCTTATTTTTTTTGCTATATGACTTGAATATCTACAACTAGATATTCCCTCTGTTTAATGAGCAATACTACAAAAAATACTTGAAATGGTAAAATATTCTGTTATCAGAAAGACCATACAATAAATTAATAAACTTTCATATGCTATCATACATTAGTTTACCCAACATGTTTCAGATGAGATTAGGACACTAATGGATATTTATTTTTGCAAAAGCAGAAGTTAAGATATTATGGATGCCCAGAGATGAGGCTAGGTTAAGGAGACCTTGGTGGGTACCGTATGTGGGCACTTGGAATTTGAATCAGAAGACAAAACAGGGCAATAAGAACACTTCTCAGCTTCAACATGGGGTCTAGTGTGATCATTCCTGAGTGATCTTACAGTCCCTGGAAGAAAGCAGCTAATATTCCAACCAGTTATTACACATTCAAGTCAGATTGCCTTCCATAAAGGGTCACAAAGCTCTGAGGTGTGATCTTAGCATATGCTGGAGATGGACATTGCACCCTCAGTAGGAAGAACCATATTTCCCATGTCTTGAGGGAAACGCACTTGAAGATTATTGTGGGAAGAAATATGTTGAAACAGCCAACTGAAAACCATTCATCTTCCAAACTAATTGGAGTCTTCTGGGAAGATCCTGTTCCATTCCAGTAATGAGAAAAATTGGGATTCCTAGTGACCGTAACTGCAAATGGAAAAAATTTTAGTTGCTAAAAACAGCATTATTATTGTTGAAGAACAAACTGTCTCTCTGCAATGATTCCTAACTCAGAAATAGAGAAGCCCTGGGTAGTGATTCATCTCATTCCCTGATAGTTACTTAATGAATGGCATCACGAAGAGGATGTTGGTCATTTCCTCAAAAGACAAAGAAGTCAATTCATCAAGTAAACAGTTAAGTAGGCAGTGTTTTGCAGTAGTTAGAGCTGGGTTTCTGTAGTCAGACTGCTCAGGTTCAAATTCCTGCTTTACCACATCCTAAGTTCATGACCTCAGACAATTCTTAACATTTCTGGACTTCAGTTTCCTCATTTGTAAAATGAAGATTAAATCACAACCAGCCTCAAGTGAAGTGCTTTCATAATTAAATGAGATAATCAAAATGTTTCATACAGTGTCTGCCATTCAGAAACTGTCTTATAAATGTTACTATCATTGCCATTTCTTGGAGAGTTTTGTGAATTAAGCTGAACACAGCAAAAGGATATTTTTGCCCTAATATCTCCCATAAAAACCTAGTCTTATTACATGAAATTCCTCACTAGAAATATATTCCTCAACTAACAACATAAATATGCCTGGAATATCAAACATAAATATGATTATAAGACATTTTCAGCTTCTAAGACATTAAGTGAATTTACTTTCCAGATCACTGGTAGTACTAATGATAATTTTCCCCCGAAGTAACATAGAAATGGAGAAGAAAGAGCTGGGATGTACTGGGTGTCCTGGGAAGACAGAGAGACACATTAAAAGTGGCAAACTTCCTAATGGGTGAGTGGAAACCAGAAAAAAAATTCCTAAATCCTTTTCCTAAATTGATACATTGGGAAAAAATGAATGGCTTTCAGATTTAAGAAAGTTGGATTCTTACTTTGCCTTTGCTCCTAACAAGTCTGGGGACTGCTGACCCTCGATTTTCACATTCAAAATTAGAAGATTGACTAAAGTAATCTTTAAGGTCTTTTATATTTCTCAAATTATACAAGCTATCTTAAGTCCTTGATCACTTTATTTATTGTAACCTGGCACCCATTTAGCTAAGCTTTTTTTCTTGTTCCTTGATAATAGTTCAAAAACAAAGAGACAGGGAAAGAGGTAGAAGACATAGACCTCTGATAAATTAGTGAGGAGAACTAAAGGGGAGTGTGCTCAATATGATGAAGAATGGGAGCCCTAAGACAAGCTCAGAGGAGAATTTGAAAGCTGTGGTTACTGAGGAAATGGGAATTGGACGTCCCAAAGCACAATGATCAAATTAAGAGTTTTGAGCATAGAATCACATACGAAAGTGCAAACGGTGGAGATTACAGATGTAAAAGAGATCCAAAAAGAATAAATTGCATGTTGTATGTAGATTAATTGAATTACATTCATGATGAACAGACCTATCAACAAATACAAGCTTTTTTAGAACTTAAGAGGACCCTATAATTTTGTGTTTAATTTTAAGGATAAGAGAAAATTTTAAAAACATATGCGGAATGTAGTAAAGAGTGCAAATGTAGAGATAAAGTAAGAGAAAGTGTGGAAAAGTGTGCAAACTCTGTTCAAGAAGTAATAAGCAGCAAGTATGGGGAGAAGAACTAGAAAAACTAAATAAAATTTATTTAATATTTGTTCTGTACAAGGTATGATGCCCACAGCCTGAATTAGTTTGTTTAATATTCATAATAACCCATGAAGAAAAACACTTCTTATCTTCATTTCACAAAATACACAGTTTTTATCTGCATTTCACAGACCAGGAAACGAAGCCTATTAGTGAACTTCTCAAAGTTTCATGGCCATTAAGTGACTGGCCTAGCTTTCAAGCCCTGATCTATCTTACTCCAGAGCTCATAGTCTTAACCTCTATATTTAATCCGGATGGGTGTACTTCAAGGAGACTCAAGGACCATAACTTAAGAAGCCTCAGCCAAACTCAAAGAAAATGGGCTAAAGAGATGAACAAAATATGTTACCTTTATCTCTTGCTTCAAAAAAGAGATAACATAAACAAAAATGGAATCCTCACTTCTGGGCCACCCCCATACACCTACAGTCCTCCCTCTACCACCCTACTGTTAACCCCAAGTAATTTTTTAAAAGATTAATTCTAATTTACCCTTATGTACAGATGAAATAGCCTAGTATAATTTGGAGAGATTCTAAAAGTAACCATTTATCTTTCTGATTTCTAAAATTAGCCCAATACATGGAATTTCTTAATTGAAGATTTCAATCTTAAAATGTAAATGGACTGACGATGTAATCTTTTTGATGATGCAGTTGACTAAATGTGATCAGTCAAAACTGTCAGATAAAATGTCTGGTCTCATTCATTCAATAACAATTTATTGAGTATCTCTTACATGCAAGAAAGACAAAGAGCTAGTTCTGGATTTACAGTGGTTTCCAAAATAGATATGATCTGTTCTCATGAGCTTACTAGAGAGTAATGGATGGGGTAAAAAATAAATGAATATATAATCAGAAATTATAATAAGTGCCCTAAAAGAAATAAACATAAAAGCATATTTATAACATTGAGGGTAGACAGACTAGAGTTATATAAGACTCTTCAGGAAGGCATTTTGAGGGGGTCATATTTAAACTGAAACCTGAAAAATAAGATTTATCAATACAAGAATGCAAGTAGAACATTTCAGTGAGAGAGAAAACAACGCAAAATTCTCAAAGTGAAAAATTACTCAGCATCTTCAGGGAAATGAAGAAGACTAACATAACTGGACAAGCAAGAGATGAATTAGGGCTGTAACATACTGATGTAGCCATGAAAATCCTTACAAACCAGAGTTGGAACTTTGAATTTTATTCCAAGGGAAATGAAATTCCACTGAGTGGCTTTAAACAGAATGGATCTTGTGTATGGTTTTAAAAGATCACTCAGATTCTGTCTTTAGAATGGACCTACAAAGGGTATTTTTGTGCAGTTTAGAAAGAGAAGAAGGCAGAAAGGCATGAGGTACTTTATAAGACAATGTGGACTATCATAGCAGGTGAGAAAATAGGCTGAAATCAGAAGAATTTTAATTTCACAACCTTGACTACAGTCATCCCTGTTTACCTCACATGAAAACAAGAGGATAAGCACATGTAGAGGTATTATTACCATGAGATTACAAACCATGTCTATTTTATGACAGTGTTTTTCCATCATTAACTCAGACAACATAAAATAGCTTTCTTTCTATGGAGATGGTAATCAAAAAATGCTTTTATAATTGAATTGATACTACATCAGTATATAATAAAATATACTTAATAAGCCTCTGGCTGGCCTCTCATACAATACTCAGCATTGGTGTTCCAGTAGCATTATTAGTTAACCATTACTCCAATAGTATGCTGGTTAACAGAAAAATAAAATAAAATAAAATTGTGGCTTATCTAACTTTTTACCTCACCCCACTGCTAATTCATGCTGACAGTCCCTTTCTCTGCTCTAATATTTTTTCTTGTTTTTACACACAGATCAAGCCATAGTCAGGAATCAGTGATGAAAAATTGTACAGCAATAACATTTATCCTGGTGGGATTAACAGATGACCCAAATCTACAGGTTCTGCTTTTCATCTTCTTGTTTCTAACCTATTTGTTGAGTGTTGCTGGAAATTTGACCATCATCACTCTCACCTTGGTGGACTCCCACCTTAAAACACCTATGTATTTTTTCCTCCGGAATTTTTCCATCTTGGAAGTATCATTTACAACTGTCTGCATTCCCAGATTTCTCTATACAATGGCATCTGGGGACAATGCCATTACCTATAATGCATGTGCCACTCAATTATTTTTTGTTGTTGTCCTGGGTGTGACTGAGTTTTTTCTCCTAACAGCTATGTCCTATGACCGTTATGTAGCCATCTGCAAACCCCTGCATTACATGACCATCATGAACAAAAGAGTCTGCATCAAGTTCCTTATTGGCTGTTACATAATTGCTCTAATCATTGTTATCCCACCATTTGGCATGGGTTTTGAGCTTGAATTTTGTGATTCCAATGTCATAGATCACTTTGGATGTGATGCCGCCCCCATCCTGAAGATTACTTGCTCTGACACAGAGTTTATAGAGCGATTTGTGTTAATCTTGGCAGTGTTGACACTCCTCTTAACCTTGGTGTGTGTGATTATGTCCTACACTTACATCATCAGGACCATTCTCAGATTCCCTTCTGCCCAGCAAAGGAAAAAGGCTTTTTCCACTTGCTCTTCCCATGTAATTGTGGTTTCTATCACTTACGGAAGCTGCATCTTTATCTATATTAAACCATCTGCAAAAGAAGGGGTAGCTATTAACAAGGTGGTGTCAGTGCTTACCACTTCGGTTGCACCAGTTATGAATCCCTTCATTTATACGCTAAGGAATAAGCAAGTGATACAGGCTTTCAAAGACATGATCAAAAGAATTGCATCTATCTCAAAGAACTAAAGGAGTAATGAGTGCAAATTGAAAAGTTATAAAAGAATTCATTATCTCCATTTTATTTTTCCCTAATTCTATACTAGTCACGATTTTTGTATGTTACAACCTCATTCTGTTACACCTACCACCCACTATCTATAAAAGTATTAATTAACCTTTTCATTTCAAGCTATTCCCAGAAATACATGGGAATAAATCTTCAGCAAACTTTTATAACATCACACCTATTATTACTCACATAACAAGAAATGTGGATGACATCAATTTACTGTTATATTGGTGCTCATCTGCTCCTTTTGTATTGACTTACATGTCCAGATTTAAGCCCCAGATTACCCAAGGACAACAATGATGATCATCTATGTCTGCAGAAATAATCCTGTAAGTACCCTCCTTGATAACAGGCATTATTCTCTCTCTTCCACTTTTCAGCAAGATATAAATACAGACTAAATTTTTTTTCAAATGCCATTTGCTTAAAAGCTGTACAACTTCCTTTTATAAAAACCCTGACTCTGTATAAATAGAATTTCATATGCCTGTCACTATGTATATACCTGGATGCATCTATGTGTATTTTTTTGCCCTTTCAGAATATCAGCTTAATAAGCTTAAAACGGTTAATGGGAAGGACAAAATATAAATGAAAATTTGTACCTGAATTCTATTCTGTTATCCAAATTATTCACCATAATAATTTTTCTAATCATTTTTTCTAAATATTTTTGAGGATTTCTAAATACTTTTCTAAATACAAAGAAATCCAATCTAAACCACAGAGTCTGATAAAACTAACCAATGAATAAAGAATTCAAATTTTTAAGTGCTAATTTTTGCCTTTTCAACTTAGTCCCACTTCCTCATTACCTCTCTTTCCTCATAATTTTCTATTGTTTATCTGATGCTCTAGGGAAATATGTGCTGTACCCGGGGTCAAAAAGTTCACGCTACACTCTGGCTTTTATTACCACCAACTCAGACAGATCTTTTAACTGCATAATTTCTTCCAAACTTGAGGAAATATTAAACTGAAGGACAAGTTGGAGGAGTAAGGTGGCACTAGAAAACAGGCCAGAAATTCTAGTGATATTTAGGGGGCTATCCCAAGCTAACTTATAAGACCAAGAAATTGGACCACAATGGATAAACAGTTCCAAAATTCCTCACATCAGAGATAAAGAATGAGTCTGAAGATGATTACACTAGAATAAATAAATCTTTTTCCTCCACCCTATTCCCAGTCTGTCCACTGGAACTCTCTAGATATAGAATATGCTTTTAAAAATAAAATGGGAAAGAAATATCTGTGGAAATTCTGAACTGTGAACTGAGCAAAGCAAGTTAATAATTCAGTTCACCAAACTGAAGGAGTAATTAAAGAATGTATTTAGTCTGCTGAGGGTAGACAAGATTTTGTTACAGATAATTTTTCTTATCTTTTTTATATGTTAATAACTTTGAAAATGAATAATCTATTTATTATATGACATATTTTTCAATATGATCATTTCATTAATGATCTCTTCTTCACTAGACACTGAGCTCCATAAGGTCAAGTACTATGCTTGCCAATCATATTTCCAATAGAGTTTAAATGTACTCCATACACCTCCTAATTGGCTAAAGATAGCCTCAACCATTCCAATTCTACCCCAACCTTGGCACTCCCATGGTCTTACAAAGGCCATAGAGAAGATTCTCCAGGCATTAGCCTATGAAAACAACCATTGTCCTCATTCGCACAGCCTTCATGTTCATGAGCTCCACTGCTTCCATGCAGTATTTGAAAATGGAAATCTATTTTTTTAATTTTTTTATTATACTTTAATTTCTGGGGTACATATGCAGATCTTGCAGGAAGGATTGTTGCACAGTACTGAAAGCTCTAGTCAGAGCAATTAGGCAAGAGAAATAAATAAAAGACATCATGACAGAAAAGGGAAATGGTCTGTTTGCTGTCATGGTATTATTTACAGAAAGCTCTAAAGACTCCTCCAAATGACTATTAGAACTGATCAACAAATTCAGTAGAGTTGCAGGATACAAAATTTACATACAAAAATCAGGTACACACATGCCATGGTGATTTGCTGCCTCCATCTCCCCGTCACCTACATCAGGCATTTCTTTCACTGTTATCCCTCCCAACCTCCCCACCCTTCTGTCCCTCCCCTAGCCCCTCACCCTGCAACAGACCCCAGTGTGTGATGTTTCCCTCCCTGTGCCCATGAATTCTCATTGATCAACACCCACCTATGAGTGAGAGCATGTGGTGTTTGGTTTTCTGTTCTTGTGTCAGTTTGCTGAGAATGATGATTTCCAGATTCATCCATGTCCCTACAAAGGACATGAACTCATCCTTTTTTATGGCCTCATAGTATTCCATGGTATATATGTGCCACATTTCCTTTGCCCAGTCTATCATTGATGGGCATTTGGGTTGGTTCCAGGTCTTTGCTATTGTAAACAGTGCCACAATGAACATACGTGTGCAGGAAAAAGATTTATTTAATTGACAAACATTTAGCTGGACTAAGGGGAAAAAAGAGAAGACTCAATAAACACAATCAAAAATGAAAATGAAATAAAATAAATCATGAGAATATACTATGAATAATTATATGTTAAAAATAAATAAATAAATAAATTCCTAGACACACAACCTACCAAGACTGAATCATGAAGCAATTGAAAATCTGAACATATCAACAGTGAGTTAACAGATTGAATCAGTAGTAAAAATTCTCTAATCAAAGAGAAACCCAGGACCAGAATACTTCATGAGTGAATTTCACTAAACATTTAGAGAACTAATACCAATCTTTTTCAAACTCTTCCCAAAAAAATGTTGAAGAAGAAGGAACACTTCAAATCTCATTTTATGAGGACAGTGTTACCTTACATCAAAGCCAGAAAATGGCACTACAAGAAAAGAAAATTACAAGCCAATATCCCTGATAAACACCGGTATAAAAATCCTCAACAATATAATAACACACTGAATTCAACAACACATGAAAGAATCATTCACCATGATCAAATAGGATTTATCACTGGGGTGCAAAGATGTTCAACATATGCAAATTAATAAATGTCATACACCAAGTTTTCAGAGTAAAAGACAAAAACATGCCCATCTGAATAGATGCAAAAAAAAAATTATCTAACAGGCCAGGTGTGGTGGCTCATGCCTGTAATCCTAGCACTTTGGGAGGCCAAGGCAGGCAGATCACTTGAGGTCAGGAGTTTGGGACCAGGTTGGCCAACACGGTGAAACCCCATCTCTAATGAAAATACAAAAAATTATCCAGACATGGTGGTACACACCTGTAGTCCCAGCTACTCGGGAGGCTGAGGTTGGAGAATTCCTTGAACTCAGAGGGTGGAGGTTGTAGTGATCTGGGATCACACCACCGCACTCCAGCCTGGGCAAGAGAGTCAAACTTCATCTCAAAAAAAAAAAAGCAGATTAGGTACAGAAGGGATATACCTCAATACAATAAAGCTCACATATGACAAGCCCACAGTGAACAACACACTCAATAGTGAAAGTTGAAGGTCTCTCAAGGATACCCACACTCACCACTTTTTTCAGCATAGTACTGAAAGCTCTAGTCAGAGCAATTAGGCAAGAGAAATAAATAAAAGACATCATGACAGAAAAGGGAAATGGTCTGTTTGCTGACATGATATTATTTACAGAAAGCTCTAAAGACTCCTCCAAATGACGGTTAGAACTGATCAACAAATTCAATAGAGTTGCAGGATACAAAATTTACATACAAAAATCAGTCTTATTTCTATACACTAACAACAAACTATCCTAAAAATAAATCAAGAGAACAATCCCATTTACAATAGCAACAACAACAAAAAAATAATAGGTGTAAAAATTGAAAACTCAGTTTTCAATAAGGAAGTGAGACATCTGAATACTAAAAACTATAAAACACTGATGAAATAAATTGAAAAAATACAAATAAATGAAAATGCATTTCTTGTTTTGGGATTAGAAAAATGAATATTGCTAAAATATGTAACTACCCAAAGTAATGTACAGATTCAATACAATCCCTATCAAAATTCCAATGGTATTTTTTACAGAAATAGAAAAAATGTATATAAAATTATATGGAACCACAAAAGATCCCACACAGCCAAAGCAATCTAGAGCAAAAAGAACAACGCTTGAGGCTTCACACTACCTGATTTCAAAATCTACTACAAAGTTATGGTAATAAAAGCTGCATGGTACTGGCATAAAAATAGACACATTGACAATGGGACAGAATACAGAGCCAAGAACATATAACGGGAAAAGGATAATCTCTTCTACAAATGGTGCTGAGACAATTGAATATCCACATGCAGAAGAATAAAATTGGATCCTTATCTCACATCACATACAAAAATCAACTCAAAATGGATAAAAAAACTTAAATATAAGATATGAAACCAGGCTATTTCATTTAATGTATCCAAAGCATTGGTTGTTGGTTGCGTGTGTGTAGAGACTATTTTAAATATTTCCTGGTTAGCACTAACCATGTGAGTTTCTTCTACAGAAGGGCCCCGCATGAAGCCAACAAATGTAGTTCTAGTGGTGTGTAGGGCAGAGCCAAGGCAGGTGTTTGTTTTGTTTTGTTTTGTTTTCTTTCAGCTGAATCCCCTCAACAATTTATGGCCATTGTGGATGCAGAGACTTCAGAAGGAATGAGAAGAGATTGTTAAAGTCTCTATGGTGAAGGAGCCTCTGTGGGGCATTAATGAAAGTGCCTGTTGTATTACAATTTAGAGAGATTCTAGAGCCTTTTCTTATCGGGTGGCACACTCTAAGTGGTTATCAGCATAACAGACTTAAACAAAATTTGTAAGTGAGGAATATATTGCCACTGAAACCCAAATAAATATCTTAAGTGTTAAGCCCACTTTAAAATAGCAGCTGTCAATGAAGGTGAGGAGTTGATTTCTCACTTCATCAGGTATGGATTGTCTCTGAGCTGATTAGTAATGCCCAGAAATTTTTCTGAAGTGTCAGGGCCTTGAAATTTATGGGACACAATGGCCCAACCTCATTTGGAAAGTTCAACAAGTGTTTGTATATCCTGTGTGAGTGTATCCTTTGAATTTCCTCACATGAGGATGTTATCAACATAATGTTATACATGTTGTCTTAGTATGTTTTCTGTTACTTATAACAGAATAGATAAAATGGGGTAATTTAAAAAAAAAAAAAGAAATTTATTTCTTACAGTTATGAAGCCTGAGAAGTACAAGTCGAGAAAGTATATCTGGTGAGGGCCTTCCAACTGTTGGGGACCCTGCAGGCTACCAAGGTGGCACAGGGCATCATGTGATGAGGGAGCTGAGCATGTGGACATGCTAGTTCAGATCTCTCTTCCTCTTTTATAAAGTCAGTATTTCCATTCCCATGATCCCATGATAACCCATTAATCCATTAATCTGTGAATGGATTAGTCTATTTATAAGGACAGAGCCTTCATGATCCAATCACCACTTAAAGGCCCTACCTTTCAATATTGCTAAATTGGAAAATAAGTTTCAGTACAAGTTTCGGAGGGAATATTCAGACATTATTCCCTTGAACCCCTAAAACATGTGTTCTTCTTACATAGAAATATATTCATTTCATCCCCAATGCCCCAAAGTCTTAACTTGTTTCCACACCAACTCAAAAGATCAAAGTCCAAAGTCTCATCTGTGAGCCTGTGAAAGATGCATTCCCATTCCAAAAGGGAGAAAATAGGCAAGAAGAAAGGGATCACAGGCCTGAAGCAAGTTCAAAACCCAGGAAAGTAGACATTAGGTCCTAAGATTCCAAAATAATCTCCTTGACTCCATGTCTGGCACCCTCACTTTGGCTTGAGGATTTTATCCCCAAAGCCTCAAGCAGGCCTGCCCCTATGGCTTTGCTGGGCTTAGTTCATTCAACTCTCCCAGGCTGGCATTGTACACTGGTAGTTCTGGAGTTTCAGCAGTTCTACTCCCATACTCCTCAAGGTATGCCCCTAGTGAGGACTCTCTGCAGTGGCCTCACTCCCACAGCCCCATCAGTCCCATGGTGGGAACTCTATAGCAGCTCCAACCCCATGTTTATGCTGAGTATTGTTTTGATTAAGTAGTCAAAGTCTCTATGGTGGCTCCACCCCTGTGACACAACGCTGCCAAGAACCCCAGGCTTTTGATGCCTCTTTGAAATCTGGGTGGAGGCCGCCAAGCCTCCAAAGCTCTCATTTTCTGAAAGCCTGCAGAATTAATACCACATGGACACTACCAGCTATAACTTGTGCCTTCCTGGGCTGCAACATGAGCTTCACCTGGGGCAGGTTGAGCCATGGGTGAGGCAGCCATGGAGCACTGTGCTAAAATGTAGGCCGCAGAATCCTGAGGCAACCCTGGGCAGTGAATCCATGAAGATCACTCCAGGCCTATCCCCTGAAAGGATTCTGCCCTCCGATACCTCTGGGCCTGTGATGAGAGAGGCAGCATTGAAGATCTCTGAAATGTCTTCAGGGTATTTTTTCCATTGTTTTGAGAAATAGTACCTGACTCTTTTTTTACCTGTGCTTATCTTTTTAGCAAATGGTTCTGTATGCTTGGTTTCCTCTCCTGAACGTGACTTTTCACTCTACATAGCCAGGCTGAAAGTTTTTCAAATATTTCTACTCTGCTTCCCTTTTAATTATAAATTCTGTTTTAAATTGTTTCTTTGTTCCCGAATCTCAATGGAAGTGGCCTAAAGCAACCATGCAGCTCCTTCTATTTTGCTTAGACGTTTCTTCTGCCACATACCCTAGTTCATCAATCTCAAATTTGATAAACAAAGCTCTCAAGTATAGACACAGCTCAGCCAAGCTCTTGTCCAATTTATAAGAAGGATGGCCTTTCCACCAGTTTCCAAAACTTTGCTCCTCAGTTTTATCTGAAACTTTGTCAGAATGGCTTTTACTGTTCATATTTCTATCAGCATTCTGGTCATAACCACTTAACCAATCTCCAGGAAGTTCCAAATTTTCCATAGCCTTCTTGTATTCTAGGCCCCCACCAGATTATAGGCTTTTTCTAGCCTAATCCTCCAAATTCTTTCAGCTGCTCAGTATCGACTTTTAAAGCTGCTTCCACATTTTCAAGGGTTTGTTATTAGCAACGTGTGTGTTCCTGGAAAAAACTGAATGTGGTTAAGATCTTGCCTGCAAAGACCGTGTGCTGGCAGACCTGTTGAGATATCCCATGGAGAAGGGGAAGTAAGTGAAAGTACATTTCATTCAAAAGTGAAGGTTAATTGCTTGTGAGAGGCTGTTTGAACTATGCATTGAATTTAACATATTAGCAAAATATGTAAATAGCAAACTATTTTCCAGCTGTTGGTTGAATGTAGTCAGTAATTTGGTAGTTTAGACATGGGAGATTAATGGAGGATACCACAGCGTTCAGGCTAATGGTGATTTACTGTGAAGTGTCATTCATTTATATCATGTTTGAGCACTGGCCACAATGGGTTATTGAAAGAGAGACAATAGGAACAATGACAAGGCCAGGCACACCCACCCCCAGGGAGTGTCCCTCCATTGCTCTACATTTCCCCACAAACTTCATGGCTGTGGCAGATTCTCTAATGGAAATTTTATCTCAGTGGTCTCTCTGGAGCCTCTCTTCTCAGACAGATGTTTACAGTTTGTTCTCAAAATTGCCAACAACTGAGGTTCATTAGCCTCTTTTGAACTTTGGTCCACAGGGCTTCTTTGGCTTCTTTAGCTTCTTCAGGAAATTGATCCCATGTGCCTGCTCTAAAAAGAGCAGATAAAACCTGTGTTCCTCTAGCTAACACGGAAACTGCAAAGATGCCCATACCCTCCCATCTAAGAACTTCAACGTAATCTCTCTTAGAACATAAATTTTAAGGAATTTGCAGTCTCTCAAAGTATTTTCTTCTGATTGAATAACCGCTATAGGCTTTTTTTTTTTCTTTTATTATTATACATTTGAAGGTCTGCATCTCTCAAGAACTATGATTTGATTCTGGATTGGATTCTTAGAATGGAAAATAATATGCTCTTTTTCCCAGTTAAGTTCCACAAGCTTGGATACTTCCATTAAGAGAAAAGTAGAATGTGGATGGAAGCCAATGGAAAACATGTTGAAGTTTATGCTACTCAAAGCTCCACATGGCACATCTCATCTTTTATTTACCTCCTAGGTACAACAAGGTAAATAGTTCACTACAGTCATTCAGATTGTCAAAGGTATGAGCATCATATGTTTTTAAAGTCATTGATTTTATCATTCTATAAATATGGATTATGAAATGAATCAACTGTGAAAATCTGGAAGAAAATGCAGTACTTGCTAAAGACTACAGGTTAGTACAAACAAGGAAGAGGGCTGCAGGAGACCCAGGTCAATGTTTAACATCATCTAGGACCTCCAAAAACTGTATGGGAAGATGGGAAGGCTGACAAGAATGATTGTAATAATATAATTTTTCTAATCCACTGCATGTAAATTAAAGGGACCCTTTTATATCATATTTCCCTCTTAACCAGAAAAATCTAAAGACGCACTCAGAATACTACCACCAAATTTCCCTTCCCTGAGAATTACCAATTTATTTACAAAGAACTCTTATTGTCAAAAACTTTTTCTGGCTTCTGTAAGACAAGAATACAAAACAGGAGAGTTTGGGTAATAAACTGTCATCTTTAGTTGCCATTGAGGACTCTAAACCTGAGCAAAATTTATTCCATAGTGCTGCTTATAGAGATCTTAAAATTTCTCTTCTCAGAGATATATCTCAAATCAATGCCTGGACGACTCTGAATGTGGCACAGAAACCTATAATAAAATGTTAATTAATATAACGTATTGATGCTTGAGCCTTGTTCGTGCAGAGGAAAACGCTCACAATATAAAATGATATTATCTTCAGCATTGCCTGTATAGGGAAATTCCTACTTGTTTCTGAAACAAGGATGTCAGAGATTTGGACAGTAATGGAGATAAGGATCTATAGCAGATATCCAGAGAAGCATCAAATAGTACCGAGAAAGGAAAGAAAGAAACAGGAAAGCACAGAAAACAGAATGAGGTAGACAGATGTGTGCCAAAAGCACAGAAGTAGGAGAGCTTATAATACAGTCAGGAGAAAGCACTTTAAATGTGAAGATTTTATAATCATTTTGAAAGGAAGCAATAGGTTCAAAAACTTCTCTTTCTCTGGAAGAATAGTTATTCTATAATAAATTTCTCTTTTCTTTGGAGACTGAGTTTCACTCTTGTTGTCCAGGCTGGAGTGCAATGGCGTGATCTCAGCTCACTGCAACCTCTGCCTCCCGGGTTCAAGCGATTCTCCATCCTCAGCCTCCTGAGTAGCTGGGATTACAGGCATGCACTACCATGCCCAGCTAATTTTTGTATTTTTAGTAGAGACAGGGTTTCTCTATGTTGGTCAGGCTGGTCTCTAACTCCCAACCTCAGGTGATCTGCCTACCTCACCCTACCAAAGTGCTGGGGTTACAGGCATGAGCCACTGCGCCCAGCCTAATAAATTTTCTTAAGTGCCCAGGAACAGGTCAACTTGAGAAATGAAAAAGGTTACTTACACAAAAGATATGGGGCTTGCATGGAGCCAAGTGCCATCCAATGGGACACTGGTTTGGGCCATCTGAATGGTGAGTAATGTATGATCTGATTCTGTTCATTAAAATAAGCTTTATCACTCCTGCCCTAAGAAATTCTTCCATTTTCATCATTCTCACTTTTTCCCTTTAGGTTTTCTGAAGGTCAACAATGAAAAACAGAACCATGTTTGGTGAGTTTATTCTACTGGGCCTTACAAATCAACCCGAACTCCAAGTGATGATATTCATCTTTCTGTTCCTCACCTACATGCTAAGTGTCCTAGGAAATCTGACTATTATCACCCTCACTTTACTAGATCCCCACCTCCAGACCCCCATGTATTTCTTCCTCCGGAATTTCTCCTTCTTAGAAATTTCCTTCACATCCATTTTTATTCCCAGATTTCTGACCAGCATGACAACAGGAAATAAAGTCATCAGCTTTGCTGGCTGCTTGACTCAGTATTTTTTTGCTATATTTCTTGGAGCTACAGAGTTTTACCTCCTGGCCTCCATGTCCTATGATCGTTATGTGGCCATCTGCAAACCCTTGCATTACCTGACTATTATGAGCAGCAGAGTCTGCATACAACTAGTGTTCTGCTCCTGGCTGGGGGGATTCCTAGCAATCTTACCACCAATCATCCTGATGAGCCAGGTAGATTTCTGTGCCTCCAATATTCTGAATCACTATTACTGTGACTATGGGCCTCTCATGGAGCTTGCCTGCTCAGACACAAGCTTCTTAGAATTGACGGTCATCCTCTTGGCTGTTGTGACTCTTGTGGTTACTCTGGTGCTGGTGACACTGTCATACACATACATTATCAGGACTATTCTGAAGATCCCTTCTGCCCAGCAAAGGACAAAGGCCTTTTCCACTTGCTCCTCCCACATGATTGTCATCTCCCTCTCTTACGGCAGCTGCATGTTTATGTACATTAATCCTTCTGCAAAAGAAGGAGGTGCTTTCAACAAAGGAATAGCTGTACTCATTACTTCGGTTACCCCCTTGTTGAATCCCTTCATATACACTTTAAGAAATCAGCAAGTGAAACAAGCTTTCAAGGACTCAGTCAAAAAGATTGTGAAGGCCGGGCGCGGTGGCTCAAGCCTGTAATCCCAGCACTTTGGGAGGCCGAGGCGGGTGGATCACGAGGTCAAGAGATCGAGACCATCCTGGTCAACATGGTGAAACCCC